TTTACACTTTAATTGAATCTACTTCAGTTAAAGTGATATTCTATTGAGTTTTTTGGCTTTTGTGTATTCATTACATTCGAAAGCATTCTTGGTCTGTATCAAAGTACTTTAGTTCAGGTTCAAAATCTTGCTAAAGTTTGTCTTGTGGTAACCTTTTATTCGTTGACTGACATTTGTGTTCATACTGTGATCATATTGTGTGTTACACTTTGATTTGACTAAAATGGTTGGTAGTACTCACAAATGTGGACAACCAAACTGTTTGTTCTCTGTGGAGGAGGGAATGCAGTGTGGCCAATACAATAAGTGGTTCCACAAATTGTGCACCCGCTTAAGTCCCACCGCATACAAAAGATGTTCGAAGCCTAAATCACATTGGCTTTGCATGTTTTGCTGTGCCAACAAGGTATTACTAATACAGGAGACTATGAGCGTATTGGCTTTGGCCTGTAAGAAGAACGATGGCATATGTGCTGACAACACGGGCACTGACAGTGACGAGTGTGTCAGTGTAGTACCTGCTGTTACGTGACGCCTCAAACAACCGACGTAAAAGTGAAATCTCCGTTGACATTAACAGGGGGAGTAGTACCACCTGGTACTGACATTGCTGATAATGCACCTTTAGTGGGAACCGAAGATCAGGATAAAACAGTCACCGTTCCAAATAGTCCCAGTGTTATGAGGGATGAGAAGTGGACTACGGTACGTAGGGAACGAAACGAAAAGAAAAAAGCTGTAAACAGTACACTGGTAGTTAGTAACTCACTGGTAGACTCAAATTGTGAGCTACAAATTGCACTACCAAGATCTGATGGTAAGAGTGAAACCCATCCTGGCGTGACTAAGAAGAAAAATCTAATAACATCGAATATTATTGTGAGCAAATTGCGGGACCCCAAGCTGCCAACTTTGGGGAAAATTTGGTCCATTTTGGGGAAGCCGCTATAGTAAATTTGGGAGAGATGAGACGAAAACTACCCCAGGCGCTGGATAAGCTTCTCCAACGACCCTTGTCCGAGAATTTGATACGCGCATAACTTAGAAGACCTAGGAGAATACATTCGTAGTATTTTACCAGATAACTCCAAAGGAGTTCAGGTCGAAAAATTGGTCAGAATAGGCAAGAGGACCGAGAACAACGTTGAACCCCGTCCATGCAGACTCCTTAAGGTAATCCTAGGATCGAAGAATCAACGGGATCTCTTGTTAAGTAGCGCTCCTTTTCACGACAATGCTGACATCCGAGTTAGACCTGACATGTCTCTCGAAGATAGAATAAAAAGGAAGAAAGCACTAGCTGAACTTGAAACCCGTCGGCAAAACGGCGAGGAAAATCTCCGGCTAGTGGGTTTTCGGATTGTCGGGTCTTGGGAGCGAATGCTACTAAGGCCTGTGTGGATAGGCTGTTCTACTTAGGAGTTTTATATGCCAACGCTCGTAGTCTACGAAATAAGTTCTATGAACTAGAAGCACTAGTGGACAGGTTAAAGCCACTTATAGTAGCAGTGACAGGAACTTGATTAGTCCATGACTTAGACATTACTCCAGAATTATCCGGATACCATTACATCAGTAGTGATAGACATAGATGTAGAAAAGGAGGCGGCGTCCTGTTATATATAGCTAATAGCATAAATATCCGCTTCTCTACTAGCAAATCCCATGATAGCGGTACTTGTGAAGTCATTAGCTGTAAGTTGGCTATAGGATGTAGTACATTTATGCTAGGTGTCATCTATCGCAGCCCAATCTGCTTAGCTGATGACTTTATTTTAGAGTACATTCATCTTTGAAGTGAAAATACCAGATGCTTGATAATAGGAGACTTTAACGCACCTGATATTAGTTGGACTGATATGACCACAGAAGGATCTATAAACTCCTTTGATAGTAGGTTCCTGATAACAATAATGGAGCATGCACTAGTGCAGCATGTATCCCAACCCACACGTTTTGGTGTTAACCAGGGTTCTTCTCTGCTGGACTTGGTAATCACTCATGAGACTGAGGATATTGTCGACTTTAATATTCTCCCACCGTTAGTGAACAGCGATCACGCTGTTTTGGTTAGGGATTCTAGATATAGTCCGAAACGGTTATTCTCGTATATAAAAAGGCGAACTAAGAAAAGCGATGGAATTCCATCACTTTTGATTCGAGATAATCCGTTAATCTTAGCAGAGGATGATGCCGAAAGAGCTGAAGCTTTATCGGAATATTTTAGTAAAGTGTTTTCTATCGGTAATGAGGAACGACCAACGATTCATCGCGACTGTGACGGCTCGCTGATGGATCCTGTAGTCATTGAGAAAGATACTGTTTTAAGGCTACTTCAGCATCTCAAACCTGATAAGTCCAGTGGTCCTGATGATATTCATCCTAGGATTATAAAAGCCATATCAGATGAAATTGCTGAACCATTAGCCATACTATTCGACATGTCTCTGAGACAGTCCAGACTTCCTAGAGACTGGAAAGATGCTATAATAAGTCCAGTGTATAAGGCTGGGAGTAGGGATTTAGTTAGTAACTATAGACCCGTTAGCTTAACTAGTGCAGTTGTGAAACTGATGGAGAAAATCATTCGGATAGCTGTTATAAACTATGTTGACGGGCAAAATCTTTTCTCCAGGGCACAACATGGTTTTCGGAAAGGCCTATCTTGCTTGACAAATCTTGTCATTGCACGAGAAGATTGGGCTGCTGCAAAGGATCGGAATGCTCCTGTAGATGTGATTTTCATAGATCTAAGTAAAGCCTTTGATAAGGTTTCCCATTCTGGTCTTAAATCCAAACTGAAACGATTTGGAATCCATTATACAGTCTTAGATTGGATAAGTAACTTTCTCCATGACAGGAGACAAAAGGTAAGGGTTAATGGGGCTCTCTCGTGGGTACCTGTAAAAAGTGGGGTTCCCCAAAGTACAATCCTAGGTCCTCTGCTCTTTTTACTTTATGTAAATGAATTGCCAACTGTAGCAAAATCATCCGTTCTACTCTTCGCTGATGACATAAAGATTTGGAGACCCATACATAGTATGTCGGATAGAATAGTATTACAGGACGATCTTAGCTCATTGGTGGCATGGTTAGACAGGTGGTCACTAAAAGTAAATCCTAATAAGAGTGTAGTGATGCAGTTAAATAACTCTGATGAATCGTATGACTATACACTACGTGGATTCATGCTACCCAAAGCAAGATTAGGAGTCATATTAAGCAATGATCTCAAAACGACTAGTCACTGTAAGGCTGCTGCTGCAAAAGGCTATAAGGTATTATGGTCAATTCGTAGGTCTTTCCAGTATTCAGATGATGAATGTTTAGAATACTATACCCGATTTATGTGCGACCACATTTTGAATACGGGATTCAAGCAGCGTATCCTTGTTTCAAGTATGAAGCAGATATGCTAGAAAGAGTCCAACGACGAGCTACTAAGATGGTACAAGGTCTATCTGGCCTATCTTATGAAGACAGACTGAGACACCTTAAATTGTTTCCGTTATCTTACCGTAGAATACGGGGTGATCTAATATTGGCCTATCGTATACTGAACGATGACCTTGGTATTAACATGTCTTATCTTTTGCTTCCGTCTAGAACCGATCATTTGAGAGGACATTCAAAGAAAGTTCAAAAACCGAGATCAAACCGTTTACGTCTGGAGTTCCGTTCCTCGCACCGAGTAGTGAATTACTGGAATTCTCTACCGGAACACGTTATATCAGCACCGTCCGTTAATATATTCAAAACGAAGTTGGACCTCCACAGTATTACAAACTGCAAGGATTAATATAGGTCGATAGACCTCCTATCCTTATTACTGAAGACTGACTCTGTCTTTTGATATCTCTTGGTGGGTACGAATTATAGGTGTTGCTGGTAAAAGCGTTGTCAAACACTGAATACCTGTGCCATCTTCACTATCTTTATAAATATATTTGTTATCAAGGCCTGTCGTAAATATAATAATCTGTGTAGTAAGTATGCCTGTTGGTTAGTGCTTTGGCCTCGTTCACCAGGAAGTTATTACGAATGTTCATAAATGTATAATTTCTAACGCTATGGCATTGATTTTTAGAATCAATCAGGACAGTACATGTTGGTTCATAACATGGAGTTATCTCTAGCAAATGGCTGCTGAACAACGGACTTATCGTGATGATGTGATTGTAACCGATATTCTTGATAGTATCGGTTACAATAGTCGCTTTTCTTTGAGAAAACGCACAGTACTGCATCATTGTGGTAAGTTGTAATCACTTTGAAGTCAGATGACTACCATACAGCCAACGGACTGAAAGTACCACTCACCGAAGTGCTCGGTTATAAAAGAACAATTACACATGAGGATGATACGCTGCCGTGTGGAACAGAGAAGCCTAAGAGGTTAATTGATGGACATACGTGATTCATTCACTGTCAGGGTTGTCAAACGCCCAATGTGGAACTACTGGTGCACCTCTGAAGACATATAGGTTGCTGAAATGGAAACTATGCGTCCAAGTCGACTTTCTAGTTGTCACCAATTTGACTGAGAACTTTTCACCTATAGCTAAGTAAGTACCTATTGAATACATGTTAATAAAGCAGTTTATCGAAAATAGAAGTGTTCTCACCACCACTCCGATCTACTTCAACGGCAGTTAATAAACCGTAAGGTTGGGTAATTGTAAATATGATAGCAAAAGGTTGCACATTTATGACACCAAAATGATTCTGAAAGCAATCAGTGATCTGTCTGGTAAGGTAGACAAACTGACTGCTTACATCAGAAAGCTAATCCATGGGTGTAAAGGACAGGAACAGCGACAGCATAGACAATTAAAGTTCCGCATTACCATTGAAAACACCTGAGGAATTGCGTACTCTTGAAGCTGCTTTAGAGGACCACAAGTCCCTTGACCAGCTTGTGAAAGCTATTTATAAAATTTCAGCTGACCACATTGTCCAAGATCGTAGACAATGATCTTTGGAAGTCAACCAAAGCGTATCTAGCTTACATGTTGACTCCGGAACTGGCAATTACTTATGCCTACGTGGGACTAAAAGAAAAATAGGTATCAGTAATCACGTTTCACAGGACGATTCAAAGTAAGTCCGCATCACAGTTTCAATATGTTTATAGATGTTCTGTGTTCACGGTTCCAAAGTGCAACCTGTTGAGAGGAAAAAATAACACAAGCCATGGATGCTGTGAGCCAGACCTTCGTACATGGCGCAAGAGGTAAGGTTAACAAACGTAGATGGCGATCCAAAGAAAGGATGGGCAAAATGCACTTTCGATTTGTAGTTAAGTCTCTGTTTCTGATTTTATATTAGTTTCTGCTGAACATACTGAAATAATTATTTCCTGTCTAACTCATTTTCAACTGGCTCTGCAAGTACCAAGGGACCTCAGTGTACATTTTTAATTCAGCAAACGTAATCAGCGCTCCACATGGCATTATGAATTCATAATTTAGATGGTCACTATGACATAGGGCATTCGTTTGTCTACTATTAACTATTTGGCTGTTTTGATACTCCGTTTGTAATGCAGAAGAGAACTTTTTTGTACAACACAGTTCAGCACCAACCGGATGTACCAAACGGAGACGCAGTATCAACTATTAAGAAGTCGAAGACACTTGAGGACACAATTCATTTGTACTTTTTTCCAAATTCAATAAACAAGATCATTTATAACGCATCACTCTTCTAACTACGGCAACGCTTATCTATCGCGACAGACCGGTACTTGTTACCATCTGTGGTTTAATGACATTGGAGCTGCGTTAATTTCCCAAAGGGAATTGGACGGACATGTAGTGAAATGTGGTTACCTGTTATTAAGTCGGTAGGATTTTCTGTACAGTTGCTAGTCATTGGCTCTTTCAGAACAAATTATTGTGGAAAACTGGAATTCGTGGATAGTGTCCTCTAAATGCGAAAAAGTATTGGGGTTTAATCACGGAACGTAGGTGGGTTTCTCCAAAGTTGTCGAAAATTTTGATGAAAACCCAAAATACTAAAATGTCTAGGTATTTTGTAACTGAATATATAATTCTGGGTATCTTAGGACCTATGGAAGTTCTGCGTCATTTTCTCAAAAATAGGGACATTAGTCGCGTAGACTCCTATGTAGAATCAATTGAGTTAAGATTGGAACTATCTGAAGTTCATAATTACCTACAGAATTCGGGTTAGAGGATGGTTAGAATGACAGTCGTAATCACCTGCTTCACTTGGCCTATGAACTGAATGGTCATTTAATTACAGAATTATTACGATTCGACCACCTGCTCTCTGAATTATAATCCCCGTAGATGGTCGGTAGTTATTTCTTCGGTATCCGCTAGGATTGTTTGTAAGTACCACCTCTAGACATTTTGAATACAAATCAATAATACACAAAGCATTACATGAGTTTAAAAGTAGGCCACATTAATCCATATCGCCACGATTCATAATCTAGAGACCCACGACTCCATGTACGTTTATCATACAATGGCTTATATGGACTGGCAGGAGTTTTTCGACATATACAAGCATCAATCGCAGACCACCTACAGGTCTAACGAGCAAGTGATTTAATTTTCTCTGCACCGTAGTGGGGGTCATCTAATACTGCAGCGGGATGATTATTCTATAGGTAAAGCGCAAAATGCCTTTACGATGTAGTAATATATCTCTGCGTTTGTAGAACACAAGGAACATACGCTTGTATACAATATCTCAACCTCTGTTCACCGAACTTCCAAAACTTTACAAGTAACTCACAAGTTCTGATATATCAACAGGCTGTGATTGAACCAACGTATGATCACTCGTTAGATGGTCCCTCAAAATATGTCTAACGTGATAGAAAATACGCATATGGTGTTCTTTTGGGCCACGCAGTGCTCAATGGGGAAATCATAATCTCATTTCTAGATCAGGGCAGCAGAAACCGATGAAATGATTCAATTGGATAGCAAGTAAATTTTAACACCTCGTGATCAGTTGCAATAGGGAACGTTACACCAAACATGTACTTGTGCAGTCCTAACGTCCATATTACGGCTAATCAAGCGAATGGACTACACTGTATGTTTTTAAACTGATGATCTACATGACATAGATCTGCCGAAATAAAGCGGAAGGATCTCAGCCCTTTAACTAGATGGTATGAAGGTTGACAACACTTGGAATTTACTGTCTAGAAACCATAGGAGTGCTTCTTCGGCACACAACAACCTAGTAAATTCTCTGTACACTGAGAAATAAGCAGAAATACAACACCGGCCTGGTTATCAATAAACTTATTTACCAAATCAGATGTCTTAACTGATTTCAGTCTATCAGGACTATGTAATCCAAACGAAGCAATGGATCTTCACATATTATTAGCACAGCGAGATGAAACTGGGAGGACTAATGTCATAGTAGTAGAGAAGACTGGGTACAGAACAAGAAACAAAGGAGCACTATGACATCTCGGTACCCGGGATCTAATGCAGGACAGTGCGAATGCACTTGCGACCAACCCTGGATTATGTCACGCGAAATCTCTAACCCCTGATCATAATAACCATCTAGCCCCAGCCTACGGACATGCAATGGCCTCATTGACTCGAACTTCGTTTCAATCTGGCTTTCTTCCAACCTACCACTACACAAGTATAAGTATTTCTCGTCTTAATAGGCGATGGTAGGGCATATGTGGCAGACTTCAACCAGCACGATCGACGGGGACACAACTGTCTTCCTATCCTTACTTCGGGTACAATCTCGGGACCGTATGCCGTGATCCTAGAATACACGAGTATTTCACGAATACTCTATATTTTAGAAGTTATGCTTCACAGCTACGAGACAGGACTGCCATTATCTACACGTACAGTTACTTTACTCACTATCACTAGTTTGTGTGTTGACGTAAACTGAGACCTGTCAAGATTAACAAACAGACAGGTCACACTCCGCCCAATTTTGTGAGTTACTAATGTCTCAACTGGTTTCATATGTGGTAAGTATTCGCCCGCCATGGTGACGCCACACACACAACTTTCCCCATAACTTCGACTGATTGACCTTAATTTGCCATCGCTTGCTGGTGGTGGCAAATAAACCAGTTTAAGTCATACAAACACCGATTGTCTGCCAAATATGCCTTCGAACTACTACATCCCTGACTTTTGATTTGACTGGCTTTGGTGTGGTTCGATTACAAAGATTACGCACAACGGAGCTGCTGAGGCCTGAATGTTCGTGACATTTTTACACTAACAGCTTATGTTTAGCCACTTCATAACATAATCATTTAAATTACAAGATACATGACCGTTTGTCACTTAAATCGATGACCCTGAATCTCTCGCACATTGTATTCATTCAGAGAGCTTTTCACATTCCAAAATCGTAAGTATTCGGGTCTCCAACCCACCATAATGACAAGTATCCACACCTGGCGAAATCCACGGTCAGTAGTGTGTCAGACTCATGATAATTATAGCTTCAGAATATTATGGGTGGTATGCAGCGGATGGGAACGAACCAAAACGGAAAAGATTTGTATGGTTCTGCCAAAACTATTTTCCTTGCTCCCTAAAAAATCACAATCATCCGGACCTTATTGGCAATTGCTGTAAAATGGCATCTCCCCTTACGATATGTTTTTTGTAGTTACAGACCAGGCTTCGGATTCTGACACTTTGTGGTCTGGTGATATACTAGGTTCAGGAGGCCGAAATCATATTTGATGTCGATCTATGTATCACCTAGTGAAATTTGATTCTGACTACTATACAACCTTTGCCCGGTCATACCATACATTCTCTTTGCTTCAACTTGTACATTTTCTTAGTTGCTGTTATGTGGATTGTGAGGACTAAAGATGGTAGAGACTTACACAAGATCTGACAGTGACTGACAACAGATGACCTCACTTGAGAAAGACAAGACAGGTGGTTGCGGACCACAACCGTTATCAGGGAACATCTGGTTGTAAAACTATGCGATATAGCTCTATAGAAAGACAACATCGAGACACAGTCCAATCCTTATTGTCTATCTTAAACAAACAATTTGCAGCCCAATAGAACCATGAGTATAGCGCAACCTCGTACCTGTTTAATTACTGGAACCTGGATCCAAATTTAGTGGATAGCCATCTGTAAAGATACAACCCAAGTTAGAAGATACACACAACAGTTGTTAAGGTTTCAAGGTATTTATGACAGCGCTAATACGATTGCTGACAAGTCATAAACTCAACGTACTATGTCCCGTGTATTTGACTGAGACCATTTGTTGGGAGAAATGTCCTATCTCTTCAGAAGTTCCGGTAGAATTTTACTTATGAAGTATTGATCAACCACGGGGTTTCACTACTAGTCCGGACACGATTGTACTACCCTTATGACAGAAGGGTTTTAATACTTTTCTCTTTTCTAAACAAAGGATTGCCATACGGACGTTTCGTGTGGCTAAGTTAACCAAACCGTATATTTACGAAGTACTACAAGTCGTCTCACTCATGTGGTAGCGAGTAAGGCTTATTTAAGAACAAAGACGTGTGTTCCGGCATTAAAACAGAATTACATTGACTTAGTAAGAGCTAGTGGTAGTGTTAACTAGCTTGCGGTTTAATAAGACCTTCAGTTATTTTGCCTAGTGTTGCACACCAATTGAGACCTTGTAACAACCAGAACATATCTGCGGAATCTTCAGCTTCAACAGAACGTATATGAAGACAACTGACCTCTTTACAAATGTACCAGTATTTAAACAGTAACTAACAAAAACTTAAGTAGTTACGTGCAGATTATCAACTAGATGTAGCGATAGTAATTAGTAGAGCACTACAAAGTATTTTAAACTTCAACATTATTCTCTGGTTCTTTAGGATACTCAACATGTAGAGAAGATGCCGGTATAACAACCTTGGGTTCTTCGAATTTGAACATAGGAAACTGAGTCATATCTTCTCCTTCCGCTTCGTATATTCTATCAACCTTAGCCAGCATTTCACTAAGCTCTTTTATTTCTTTAGATGAAGCATCTGTTAATCCGAACTCAGATTTCCTGAAATTGGAACATGAGATTCATTAGAAAAAGGAACTCTACTCGCTCTTCTGACGATACTCCCGTAGTCTGGCAACAAATGACTGTTGGATAGGATCACCCACTTGCAAACTTCCTGATATGCTGGATAGACATCGTTGGTTTACAGCGACCCGGCACACTCTGTGCAGTAAAGTTCTAACAGACTTGGGGGTTAACATAGCTCACTTTTCAACACAACCTCCAAAACCTTTTTCAAACTACATTGGACAAAAGTTACGAACCCTACATTCTTTGGAATATGGGTCTTAGTTACAAAAAAAGTCGTTTCACTTTCACTTTTGAGAAAGACGGGCGGCTAGATGATCTGCGTAATTTTTGAAGATCCAGTATCTTTGTCAATTGATTTCATTGTCCTCGCATCCCATTGTTATGATAAAGTTACAGGTACTTAGTTGTGTCTAATGGATGGTAGTCTAGGCACTCATTTGCATCAACTCCAGTCAGTTGTGAGAGGAGACAGTCGGTAACGGATTTTCGTAGAAGTTATAAGTGTTTTTTGTCAAATGAGTCAGCGTTCATGACATGACATTTCAACAAGTCAAGTTCTAAACTCTTGACTACTGCCCCTTCCCTTATTGTTATTAGATTTTTCTGAGGCTCAGCTGAATTCTCTTAGCATTGTTATGGACCTCTATATCTCTGAGTCATCTGCATAGATTTATGTCGCCGTGCTCATTTTTTCCAGCGGGTAGTTAATAAAGACCAAAAAAGAAGACTTCCAAAGACCGTCCCTCTTTAAACTTCTGATGTTGAGACCTCCAAACTCACATGCACTCTATTTGCCTCGGTACGAAACATCCTGTTTTCGAGATAATTTTTCAGTCAAGATAAAAGTGGACCGATGAAACACATTTTTGCCGTCTTCGCTTTGAGAAGTACGTGAGGTAATGTATCAAAGGCCTTTGCGAAACCAATGAATTTTCCATGAATCGGTATCTTACAGTCCCACTAAGTCGTCCACCTTTCTTATTGAACAAGGATAATTAAAGCACACAACCTGTCTCTCATGAACCCGTTTTGAGCTTCATGGATGATAATTTTACTTATTTTTTTCCCTAATTTGTTCACAGACCAGTTCCTTCATTGCCTTCTGGAGTATTGAGAGCAATGTGACTAATTTTTTATAGACTGAATTTTTCTGTCACCTGCTTTGAAGATCAGAGTGTGGCCTGATCCTATTCCCTTGAGAGCTGGTGTGAATCAAATGAGTGTCTGAGCAGGCCATACACAAGTGTGCTGATGGCTTCTGAGCAAGCAGACTTTCGACCTCAGACAGTCTCACCGTTTGGCCTGTAGTAAGCGTCCTGTGCCTCGCTTAACCCAGTACGTTTGCTTTCATAGTGTGTGCTTACTTTGAGGTACATCGTGTTAGATCGCATTTAAAATGATATATTTTACTACCTCTCCGTGGTCATCCACTGTTTGCTTCCCCTTTCCTCGTGACCCTGACGCGTATTAAAGGTCCATTCTCGTGGTCATGTAGTCTACCTTAATACAGCTGAGATAGTATGCGTTTTCGTGCTTCTGAAGTATCCGATTTGTGACCACGTCAAACATGGATGTACCACGGTCACTACTTCTCATTGGTGCATGAACATGGACATTCCCAATGGGAAACTGATCATTTGTCGGTAAGCTATCTAGTTGAAGGCCTATGCTGCGCGGAAGCCAACGCCACTGTTGTATATCATGTTTGTGAGCTTCATTCCAACTGCTACATACTTGCTCAGGTACTCTGCTGTAATGTTGGTTACTATGCTAAGCCGCATAACTTATTCTAGCTTTTGAGCAGATCAACTTATTCATTCTTTTTGAGTTACATTTTGCTTTTGTTATTTATTCACTTATCAACCCTGACTTTTTTTAAATAGGCGTATGTGTGTACATCTTATCCTACTCACACATATCTGAAGCTTATTTTGTGTGACTATAAATATCGAATCACTCTTGATTAAAGGGAGTTGGCTCACACTCCATATGCACTGTCCGTCACATTGCTTCGCTCTCTTTTCCTTGCTTCTTCAATCTGCTTCGATTTTTCTTCTTTGTTTCGTCTCCCTGATTGCATTTTCAAATCAGTGAGTGCATGAAATATACACGTTGAAAATCTATTCTCGTATTTGACTTAATTCAGTCATTCAGTAACGTGGAATGAGTCGTTAATCGTGTACGAGGTTAGCCAGGATGTATATTTTGACAGAAATCTATAAACAATTCAGTTTTAGACGATATGATCTAATTGTAGTCAGATACGGGGCTACAAAATTTTTGAACCCATCGGCAACATCGTCTGATCTAGTTGGTATCAAAATTTAGAGTCCCACTGAATTGGTTAGCCTGCTGACAACAAACCTAATGCAGCAAACAACGTCGTCGGAGAAACTTCTGTACTTTCGACGAACAAACTCAGCAAAGCCAGCTCAACCTCTAATCCAACACACTCAGATAAACTTGTTCAGCAACACATGGGCATGCTCAAATTTTATTATCTTGTCACTAATTTCTCTTCATGTCAACTCTTCTCATTGATCATGTAGATCACCAACGTAGATGATCTGTGTCGAAATGACTGGAGGCCTACTCGAGTTAGACGTGAATAGTGTGACGAACCAACTAACGTCGAAGTCACACCTCGTGGTCAGCACCTTACGTGGACTACCCCCATTGACGTAACAAGGTACTATAGATGCTTTGAAGACTGTACAACACAAAGGACGTTATTACAGAAATATATTAGTTAAGGTAGATACAGGCGAAAGTAAGACCACTGCCGCATGGGCCAGTCCATGGCGTATGATTAACTAATGCGCGTTGCTTGTACATGACCTTGGCAGGGAGCGATGATCTGTTCGACATTCAGTGATCCAACTGCCGGATGATTTGGCTAGGGCTCAGTGACATTTCACTGTCCCTACAATCAGCTTTTTACCTTCTAGTACATTATATTGACTTGCTATTAATATTATTTCACCAATCGTCACTCTATCTATAATTCATATATTTCTATACTTTTCCGCCTACATTAGTAAACGACTATCCTGCATTATACCCTTCTTAATGTCTATACTTTGATTTGCAACCTACATTTCATACTATAGCTAATCAAAGCATTGCATCGAAGCCTTACCTACAATCCATAATTTGTAACTGCTTGATAAGCTTGTAAAACGCTACTTATAGAAATAGTGTTTTCTATTAGGATGTGAAACAAAGAGCATTGCGTGAGGTATAATATATATCCAAAAATAAGCTCAACTGAGCTCAACATCACAAAAGGAGGGAAGGTGGAGTTACTGACCAACAAACAATGGTGGTGAGGGCGATGACTACAACCCACCTATGTTTGTGGGCAGAACATTTTGTCTGTACCAGACTGGTTATGTATGAGAACGAGTCAATCAATCTGCGATATTGAGGTTGTTTTCCCACGATCGCCATTCAGACTCATGTTTCCAATTTTGTGCTGGATTAGCTATGCTACTAAGACAACCGTTAGCATGCTGACTCGGACTTTTACATTAAGACTGTCTGGCAGCCATCGGATGAAAAGAAATCAGACAACAGAAGACATAGTTACTTGTTTTCTTAACAATTTACTCTCTATATGCACTTTACGTTCTAATAAACAGCCTTCCTTATTCCAACACTGACTTGCCTTCTTTCATTTGAACTTACTCCACCTTAGCAAATATCACAACTCATTGTTCTTTGTTGCTGCATTCTCTCATCTGGGCTTCTCATCACATTTCACTTTGTCTACACGAGCTAGTACGAATTTAATCTAATAATTTATCATACGTCTGTCTGTTCCATCATAAAATGTTAAGTATTGTTCATGGTCCATATCCAAGTGCCATGCTGCTCCTCGATTTCCTTTTTTTCAAAATCTCGCTCTGAGTGCACAGCTATGGAACTTCTGACATCTGGAACAAACAAGATGTACGTGTCATAGTTCACACCAAGCGCTTTACAAGTCTTTATTATAACAACTATAAACTCAAAAAGTTGCTTTGCTTAATAATTATATATGTAGGAATGGACTGATATTCACTTTTATAGATTATATTTATTTAACATGCATACTGTGAAACAATAAATGTTGTAATTTGTAGATCATGCCTGTAAACGCTAGTTGGAATTCTTCTTTTTCACAGTTATACTTATGTTATTTCAGTTAGCCTACCTATATAATCTTCGCATAGGTTTATATTTTTCGCATATTAAAGATAAAACCAAACATTTTGAGATTAATACGTGTATTACTCAAACAATTGCTACCGCTTTCTTTCTAATTTATCTTCCAGATTGTCAGTAACCAGAAGATTCTTGGAAACCACCGGTGCGTGACAGTCCCACTCAACTTAGTATCGAGTTAACGTCACGTTGATTCCGGTGGAAAAGAAGTGTAGTGGCATTGGATCGTAACCACGATCCTCAAAGCTGAACACGAGAAAACTGGAAAACTAGACATTCAATTTTTAACACGGAGGAAAACCCAACGATGGAGAAGGCAGGAAGAATGAATTCGAAACTTAGTTTATCGGATGGTATGGCTTAGCCTTGCAGGCGTGGTCATTCTTGTGTGTTGTCTTATCTTTTTTATTCATATTAAATCTATTGTTTTATCTTCAGCCTAACTGTGTTCTCCATCATGTATTGGTGATCGTACGATACGATGAGCCAGTGTAGACAATGATGCGACTTCCACGTAAGATCTTATAGATTAGGGAGTTACATCATGACAAATCTACAATTTTAGGATTAGGTCTATTCTTAGAGCAGTGTCAATAACGAGGTAGACCATTATTCTACAGAACTAAAGCCGAAGAAGCCTGGAGTAACAGCACTACAAAAGTTTAATGCAACCCTTCTTTGAGATACTGACAGGCTCAACGGCTTCAAGATAACTCTCAACAACAGGTTCAAAGCCTTATAGGGTCTACTGAAAGAAGAAACTACCATGGAGGACAACTGAAAAAGTATCAAAGAAGCACTAGCATCAACGTGTCAGCAGGTTGGTTTGATAATCACTCCATACTTTTGAATTTATGGCGTCCAGAATTACTATACAATAACATGATTCAGACATGAAGGGTTCGGAAGATATATTTTTGGAAATCCATCGATGTATCGAGAAGCTTCAGATCTTGGCTGGCTA